GGCGAACAATTTCGTCTTCAAAAGCTTCGGCTTCGGGGGGGACGAAACCGGGACCCAGCTTCCCGGGCAATGCATGATAGGGTTTAGGGCCTGGGGTTTAGGGTTTAGGGACCCAACTGGAAAAGTATTGGGTCCAGGGTTGGGGCGCTTGGGCAGTGACTCCAGGTTTCTATAAGGTTCGGGCCAAGGCGCCTTCTACTCCGTGTCCATGATGATGCCTCGGTGCAAGAGTGGTCTGACCTGGATCCTGAACCTGAGAATGGTCGTGAAAGCGAATCTGCCTACCAGAAGAAAGTCTGCAAGGCCATTTCTGAAAACACGGAATTGCAGCCAGCACACGTGCACGGTAGAACTCCGCTCACATGGAAGTCCAAAGGTCAAGAAAAGTCCAGAAACCCTCTAAGCTGGAATTCTCCACGCCTCGACGCGGGCTTGGCTGCGTGCTCGGGCGAGGCAGCTCGCTGCCTGAACAGCCCCAAGAGCTGCCGAAATGGGCAGAGTTGCCTCGGAAACTTCATACTTATGAAACCCACAATCGCTCCCGTTGCCTCGCGCAAGGGGCACAGGCCTCGCTTCCTCCTGGCAAAAGTTCATGGCTTTGGGGTTTGTGGTTTTGGGACCGGAGTTTGGTGGGCGTTTAAAGGAGATCAAACCCCATGGAGGTATCTGCCACGATGCCCTTTCTAGCGGGATGATGGTTTACGGATGGGACATTGCTGGATCTTGCGTCGATGGGCTGATCGTGATAGATCAGGGACTAGGTTGGTTTGGCCTAGGGGCAGCAGCTTGGCTAGCGGCTACAGCTCCTGGTTTTCACGGATAAACGTATGAGCATCTGAGCTGCCAGACTGGGTAGCCTCGCATTTAACGAGATGTCGACAGCACTATGCCAGGAGCTTAAGCCGGCCCTCTGTGCAGGTTGTCACCCTAGCATAGCTGCTCTACCTCTTTTCCCACCCTTTAGCCTACCGCAAATATCATAACCGCTAGATTCTATTTAGTAATTTCTAATTTAAATATGTGCTGTAATAGTATGAGCGAAGTCATACTTAAAAAATCGTCTAAAGCAGGAAAGAAATCTGACGCTGTCATAGATGGTAAAAAGACTGCTTCATGCTACAGAGTATAGTGATTTTACGAAGCACAAAGATGAAGAACGAAACAAAGATATATAGCAAGACACGGTGCTACACAAACATTTGAAAAACCGCAGACGTGGGCGAGATGCATTTTATGGGAATAGAGAACAATACCAGAAGCAGTTAAGAATATAGAGAAGATGTTTAAATAGATATAAAAATACAGAAATAATGAATCCTAAACAAATATTTATACTATTAAATTAACAAAAATCTTTGGTAAAGCGTGTGAGATGGGAAAGCCGCAAGAAAACAGAAGACATGATATTACGAATTATGAAAACAATTGAGGGGGAGATGAAAGGGGAATGAAAAACTACCTAAGCGAAATGTGGTGAGGAAAATGAATGAGAGCACGGTGTTGATGATGAAGGAAATGACAGAAAAGGATGGAACGAAAGAGGGGGCAAGCAGTGATAGAACGGAGAAGGTGAAGATAATGATGAAAACGAAGCAGGAGAAGGGGGAAAAAAGGATACAGACCCTGCCCCAGAACACTCCCTGACACAAGCCCCAGCCCCAGCCCCAG